TGTGTGTGTGTGTGTTAATGTTGGCGTTCACCATGTGCCATCTGTGATGGCCTAGTCAGAGATTAGCCTGGTAGCCAATAACAGCAAGACAAGGAAATGACCCAAGGGAGGAGAAACAGTGGAATAGAGATTTACACCAGTGTTTCCCAAAATAAAGACTATGTCCCACATCATTTGGATGCTAGTATATTATTATCCCCAGACTAAAGTAGTTCTCCTGAAAGGCTGGAGAAACCTCAATAATTTGTCTCACCTTGGACATTTAGAACCACAACCTGCTTCACCCTGTGGTTAGTTGTGCTTGTCCACAGTATATGTGTTGAGAATAAGAAGATGGGCTGAGAGATTCTGGAAATATCAAATACCATGATGTAGTGGGAACAACGACACCGGGAGTAATGTAACGTTAGCTATGTTGTGGGTTACTGAACTGTTGCTACAGCTGCACACACACAGACACGCAGCGCAATTATCAGAAAGTTAGCGGACCGTGAGGAAATATTCACTGAATTGGGAAAAAGTGTATTGGTTTAGAACCACATTACCTAGAATCATTAACCCCACCTTTAAAGGGTTTAGTGGCGATTTGTAACGAGCACTGTTATGACTTATTCTATTTTATCGACAATAATAAATTAGTAAAACAAAAAGTCAACAATAATGATTTAATAACCGTTTCAAAAGTTCTAACAAGTTGTAGCCGATTCAGAAGAGGCTGTGTGGTATACACAACTTGAAATAAGCCGCATATATAACCTCTTCTATCTGCTGCGTCTGTGTACAGAAATAAATATGTATTTTTTCTGCCTGTGGTGTAGCTATGAAAATAGGACTGATGAGAGATGCTCATCACAGCTGCACACTTTGTGACATTATTTGCCCTTCATAACAACGACTTAGAGCTGCAACTAATTATTGTCCATGATGTGTGAAAACCAGATAATAATTATATCAGGTTTCCCATAGCCAGTATATGGGATATTGTAGAAACAGAATTGCCTATCCTAAATATTAAGTGAACTTTTGACACCCACATCTCTGACATTTTAAAAAATTGCAGGAGAGGAAATAAGCAAGGGGCCACTGAAAGCGTCCTGGTGGAGAACTGGAACGCAGCCAGATTTAGAGAGTGGTTTCCTCAGACCACATACCCTGGCTTATTAAGAAAGAATGTGCGTCAGCATAAATGTGAGTGAAAAGGAAAAAGAGGCTGACCTGCTACAAGCCGAGTAACAAACATTCATAGTTATGTATGAATATATCAGTGTGAGGGAGTTGGCCGAACAAATGATTAATGGTGTAATTAAGAGTTTGGGAGTGTTGCACAAAAGCGGCGTGAGTGAGTGTCTGGATTTGTAGAATTTAATAAAGATGAATATAGAGCGTGAACTAGTGAGCACTCTCAATCAACAATAAAGCTTTATGTGTATTGGATTCCTGAGAAAAATACAGTAGTTCAATTTGCAGTTTTATTAGTTAGAAGAGAATTTTAAGTTTTAGGTAATGAACATATTGGAAATGTAATTCATCAGTACTGCAGACAAACTAACACCAGTGCATGACCAAGCATTTTTGACTTCTCAGAGTGATGTCTATGAGCTGGTTTTCCCACAGCCATCTTTTTCTTCAAAACCCACCTATGACAAACCTGAGTGAAATGACCTAAAGATCCCCTCCAGACAAGTATTAAGATGTATATTCAAATAGTCTGCTTGGAACAATGTGTGTCTCATATGTTTCTATCCACTAAAAAAATGTATAATTTTAAGGTAATTTCTACTCTTCCACCTCATTAATGATTCCAGAATCTATCATTATGCAAATTTAGTTTAGTTTTCTAAAAGATGATCCTACTGTACTGTAAAGTCAATTCTCTGTGTTTGTGCACTGGGGGCTTCAAGTTTCTACATAACACTTGTAAGTGTATAAGTTGCAGATTGGACCAAGCTTGACATCCAAACTGTGTGATGTCACAAATCATGCTCGTAGGCTTTCTACTTTCAGCAGACGAATGTGAAAACATCCTTCTACTGTCAAACTATAAAAACATAACTTTGAGTGGATGGGGACTTTAACACTGCCTCACAAAGCCTAGTCTAGCCTGGACCTTGCATACGGGAATTGATTTGGAATAGGCCCAGCGGATGGCATTGGCTTCATTCACACTGTTCCAGGCCCCTCTACTCCCTCCCTCTGTTTGAGTGGTTTCCTCGTTACCGTGCGGACACTGGGCAGCATTGTTGGGTTAAAGAATAGATACTCGATGAGACGGGCCATGGACGAGCCTAAAGAGCAGAGGGGAGAAATAATGAAAGCAAAGGAACAGTAGAATGGGGGCTCTGTAGTGGGGACACAGCGTTATTTCTCTCTGTTGCATAATGATACTGGTCTGTCACGACACAATGAGCACACGCACACACACACACACACACACAAAGATCAGTAGACTTGCAGATGGGGAGTGGAGTGTGTAAATTAGGTTTTTATGGAGTGAGGAGCTCAACAACAGCACATTATGTCTGTCAGCCTTCCTCAGCAGGCTGCGTCTCTGTCTTGCACAATATTGAATAGAATGACCAACAACTGGGGAGACGTGGCATTTCCTTTTCTTTAAAGAAAGAGGACGGTCCACTCGTCTTAGCAGTCTTTTCTCATCAGTATTCTATTCTTTAATGAGGCAGTCAAAAGACGAGTAATGCCAGAGTCATGTTGTACTTGTATTTGTGGTGTGGATCTGGATGTGGCGATAACGAGAGCGAGTGATGTTGATGAGCGCAAGCCATATGTGCATTTAAATGCGCAATTAAACCGGTATTCACATGTGAAACGGGAAAATTCACCTTGTTTTGCTATGTGTAACAGAGGAATCCCTGTGTCTGTAAATCAGATGCTCTGTAACTCCCTCTGGTGGTGAAGTTGAGGTGTGAAAAGAGGAGGGTGCTGGGCACGTCCTCCTCGCTTTTAATCTCCTCCACTCGTCACCAAGGGACATCAAACGACGTAACAAAACACCATCCGACCACAAAAGAGCATCTCAGCAGAGTCTGTCTTTGTCAAATGAACACCGGGGAACTTTCTCACTTAAAGGTCATCTGATGATTTCTAGATTTATGTTTTTTGGTGCTTTCTCTTCATGGTACTTCCAGTAAACATAATAATGAACATAAAGATAAATATAAACAAGGCAGGTGCTAAAGTCCCTCGCCCCCCCAAAAAACTGTATACTGTACTTGTTATGGGTGTGGTTGGTGTGTTTTTTTTTTTTTTTACAAATGTGTTCATAGCTCTGCATGTTTTGTTTGGAGGAAATAGGGCTGCAACCAGTGATTATTTTCATTATTGATTGCTCTGTCAATCATTTTCTCCATTTATTGATTAGTTATTTAATCCAGAAAATGGGAGAAAATGCAGATCACTGCTTCCTCAAATGTGTTGTTTTGTCAAATATATTCAGTGTACTGTCATTGAGGATTAAGGAAAAAGATGGGAAATAAACTGAATTTTATAAAAAAATCAGATAAAATTGATGTTCCCTCACAAGCTGTAGCTGAACTATAATTACACTGGAACGCTAATTGTTGGATGTGAACAATATCTCACTGTACTTCCTGTCTAATTTCCACCTGCCAGATCTGAAGCGGGAGGCCAGCATCTGCCACATGCTGAAACACCCCCACATCGTGGAGCTGCTGGAGACCTATAGCTCCGATGGCATGCTCTACATGGTCTTTGAATTGTAAGTCCACGCTCTGCACTCTGTCAGGCCACAACACATCATGTAACCAGGAAACACCCGTCCCATCAACCGCAGCTGCTGGTCAGGTTGCCTGCATGCATTTAGTCTTTCAAGAAGAAAACTATACTATACTCTAAATAGCGTGTGGAAGTTAAACAGCCACACGCTAAAATTACCAGCATTTGGCAGATGGTTGCTGGTAATGTCACACTTCTTTCACACGTCTTCACACTACCAGCCCCCTCATTTTAGTGCTAACAGACTTAAAAGAGGAAGACAATGTTTTGTGTCTAAGGTGCTTAGTAGACATTTTTGTACTTTTGGTGTATTGTTCTGAAGATCTCTGCCAGGGTAAAATATTAAGCAATAATGGTATATTTGAATATCTAATAAAGGGTTAGGGTAAAGTGGTATATATTACACAACTGCCAGAAATATGAGAAGTGCTAAAATGCCTTTTATATGGCAAGTAGCAACAAAAATCATATGGAATATTACAGACCTTGTAAGATTGCTGCCTAATTGCACAGTAAAGATCAAAATAACATTATGTAATCTAGAGACATTGGAGAAACGTCTCTCTGCTTCTCCCCCCGGCCATTGTTGTAAATATAATTTTCTTAATCAACTTGCCCTGTTAATTTGTTCCTCTGTGTGGATTTTATGTGGTAAATCTGTATCTTATATCCTCCAGAAAGCTTCCCCAGGGATTGTACTGGCTAAAAAGTGCTTTAATGAAAATCTCTGTGCCGGTGACAGCAGGTCATAAAATTGCTCCCTGATGGGTGCAGATTTATGCACTCCGTTTTAAACACCATTTTGAGAGTTGCTTGCTCATCTGCTCTTGTGTAAATCGTTATCTTGATAGCTTCTTTCTCTTTCTTTCACCTTTCTCAGCATGGACGGGGCGGATCTGTGTTTTGAAATTGTGAAGAGAGCCGATGCTGGCTTTGTGTACAGCGAAGCAGTTGCCAGGTAGGACACACAGTCTGGGAACTGTGGGAAGAACATTTTACATATTGATAAAGCTTGAAATAAACAACAATTTGTGGAAGCCCTAAATGATCTCCCCCTTGTCTGTTTCTGCTTTCTGTCCATCCAGCCACTATATGAGGCAGATTTTGGAGGCACTTCGGTACTGCCACGACAACAATGTGATTCATCGTGATGTAAAGGTGAGCTCTCTCCAAGGTTTCCAAAACTGAAACACTGAAACCACATCTGTCACTTAACTGACAACCTTTTCACATTAATGTGCTTTATAACATCACCGTTTTCAGCTCTATGAAGATGATTATCTATATTCAGTAGATGTCTGTGGGGAGATAGGTCAAAGGCACTAGACTGTGACAGGAAATATACTTACATCCGCTTTTTACAGTAAGTTCTACTTACAGTGAGCTGTTTCTCAGTCTAACCTCCTGGAATCCCCTCTGGTTTGCAAACCAGTGTGTCATGCTGAGTTGTATGAAATGTCAAATGCTAGGCCAGTCCTTTTAAGAGTTCAAGATTAGCCATCTAACACAAGCGGCAAACAACACAAAACCAGATGGAGCAGTCCCAAACCAGGTCCTTGATCCAGGCACACACTGTCCCCAAAGGGATCAACACAGCCTTGTGTTCAGAGTAATACTAATAGCTGTGTGTGCTGTTTAGTTGACCTGGGTGAAGTGGTGGTTGCACATTACTGATGATGTTTGTTCTAGTTTGTTCATCTTGTTCTCGATAGGTGGTTTTTAACTAGGGCTGCAACTAATGATTATTTCATTATTGATTAATCTTTCAATCATTTTCTCACTGAATTCATTACTTGTTGGGTCCAAATGGTAAAAAAAGAAATCACCGTTTCCCAAAGCCCAAGGTGTTGTTTTGTCCACAACCCAAAGATATTTAGTTTCAGACTAAACAAACCAAAAAACATTTGACAAGCTGAAACAACAGAATTTGGTTCTCAAAGTGATTTAATTAATAATAATTATGTTATGATTATTAAATATTAATATAGTTGCTGATTAATATTGTAGTTAACAGATAATTGATTAACTTACTGTTGTAGCTCTACTGTTAACACAATCAGGACAAATTGGTAGGTTTTCAGTCCAAAGTAAATTGAAAGAAACAGCATAGTTTCAAGTTTTTCTTTCTTCTTCTCTTTTCTTCCAAATAGACAAGATCATATTATTACTACAACAAAAGAGAGAAAAATTGAGGACATTTGTTTTAACAATATTTCTCAGATACGCTCAATTTATTTTAACTAATATACACATTTACCTCTATGATGGGAAACGCACATGCTATTTACAGAAAAGTAACTGTCACATAAGTCACTGGAGCGTATCTCCACACATCACTGTTTTAAGTTTTTCAGTCAGGCATTAAAATACCACACTCTTTTTCTTCTTTTTTTTTTTAACAGAAGTAGTAGAAATGCTTTGCTCAGTTTTAAAGAGAATTGGCCAATCAGTTTGGCCTTGTTAGAAATGTCAGATATTTATTTCTCTGGTGTTGCATTATTTGTAATCACTGTTTGGAGAGTAGGTTGAAGCGTATTCAGTCCTGTGCGGCGGAGGGTGGAGTTGATGACACAGATGCTTGATCTGGGGGTGGCTGAGGGGGTGATGGGTAAAGCCGAAGGTCGTCTGAACTCAGAGCTGTTAGATGTTGCGTCGTTCAGGAAGAGAAGCCGGTTGCCAAATCGGTGTCCAAGTGTTTGGAGGGCAGTTTTGCGCACTGAGCCAGACAACAGAAAGTACATGACCGGATCCAAACAGCTATTGAAGGCGGAGAATAACAGCATCACCTCATTGGTACGGTCCACCAGTTGCATGTAGTCGCAAGATGCGTCCGTGCTGAGCTGGGAGGCGATGTAGACAGGGCGGAAGACGTGGTAGGGCCCGAAGCAGACGGTGAACAAGAACAGGACAAAGAAGGACTTCTTGGCGGTCCGTCCGTATCTCTGTGCGTTGGGAAGGTCTGGCTTGTCCCGTGACACCTTCAGCAATTGGCATGCAATCTTCGCGTAGGAGACCACCATCATGATGAAGATGAGCCAGAACAACAACACCAGTATGCCGTTGAAGTAGGCTTTCCCTTTGCCTTTGCTGCTACGCGGCTTGTACTGGAAGCATTTGTCAGTGAAGTCTTTGTCCTCAGCCGTGAAGATCATGGGCACCAGCCCCACCAGGGACAGAGCCCACAGAGCCCCGCACGCCACCCAGCTCCACGGCCAGCTGTGCCCAGATAGTGTGAACCTCATGCCTCGCCGTGATCTTCCTTTCCCTTTTAACCTCAAGTATCTGTCCAAACTGATGAGCCCCAGCAATGTAATACTGATGTACATGTTCATGTAAAAAAGATTCCCCACCATCTTGCAGGCCACAGATCCCAGCACCCAATTGTTTCCATTAACATGGTAGAAAACCCTGAAGGGCAGGCACGCCAGGAGGACCAGATCAGCCACAGCGCAGTTGATGAGGAAGACCCGCACAGAGTTGCGGCTTGAAGGCAGGAAAAGGAACACCCACAGGGCGAAGAGGTTGCCTATGAGCCCAAAGATGAAGAACACGGAGTATAGGACTGCCAGCGGTATACGGAGGGCCTCATCATCAAAGGAACAGGTCTGGTTCGGGGAGACCACTGAAGAGTAGGAGATGGAGAAAGGAGAAGTGGCAGAAAAGGAGGATGACATTGAAGCGGGTAGGGATGTAGCAGAGATAGGGAGAGAGGAGTTAGATAAAGCTAAGGAGAGAGGAGAGGCAGAGGAGAAGGTGGTCATTGTGTCCGTGGGTTGTTAATCATTCGGCTCTGAGAAAGGGAAAAAAACAACAACAAACACAATTGGTGAATTTGTTGTTTGTCACTGAAATAAAAACAAAACAAGCTGATTTTGAGTTAAAGGGTGGAACAAAAGCAGTGCCCTTAGTGTGGAACTGCAATGACGTAGTTTCTGAGTAGTGCACAGTCAGGTGAATAATATGTGGGTTGTAGTGTTAAAGGTCACACATTTAATTGTTGGTGGAAAATGAAAATTATAGTAATTTATGCAACAGCATGAAAAAGGTACAGCACCTTTACAAAAGCTCCAGAACGTACAAATGTCCCTCTAAGCAACAGTTCTGTTTTCTGTACCTAGATTTTTATGGGTCATGACTAATTGAAACTTTCATGCCTATTTAACGCATAAATTCCTGTCCCATGGTTTTACAATAAAGACGAGGAGCGTAGATTCACGCGCATGCACACTCATACATGAACACAACACAAGTGCAGAGTGACTGCTACACACAGATGTTTGGATTAATGCGGAACACTCACCATCAATTTTCCTTCGGCACAGCTGCAGTTTAAATGTGTGGGAACGCGCAGAGAGGTGTGAGAGCACAGCAGTCCAGTGTGGTTTTTTTTTCCTCCATCAAATTGTAATTTGTTTAAAAGCTTGAGTTGCATGTAAAATATTATACAGCCACGGTCCTCGTCACTTCTTTTGTTATCTTTACCTTTCTTCTCAGTCACTGAATGAGTCAGAAATCTTGCAGACTCCTCTTTTTTTCACATCCTTGTGACGGTGTCTGCCCCACTCTGTGCTCCTCTCAGCTCTCAGTGCGCTGCTTGCCTTGAGTCTTTTTCTGTTTCTGTCCTTGTCCTCTCTTTCTCTGTCCCGCTGCCTTGCGCTCACAGATCTGACCGTTTTGTGTGAAGGTCTTCTTGTCTCTGCCTCTAGTTTTTCACTGCCTCAGTCAACCTCTTCCACGCCTCTCACCTCCCCCGTTACGAGAAGTGAAAAAGAATGTGAAGGCAGGAAATGAGCCCACCACCGGCGCTCGCACTCTCACCCTATTCCTGAGTTTGAGTTTGTCATGCAGATCTATTCAGTACTGCGCTGCACTGTTCTTTTTCTAAAATAAAATGACGTCAATTTGCATGAATACTACAGATTTATCTACGGGGTGTTTTAAATATTTCTTGCACAGATCGGACAATAATCTTGTCTGGTGTTTATATAATATTTATGAACCACACACACACACACACCACACACACACACACACACACACACACACACAACACACAAACACACCTTAAGTATTTATTACAGTCACAAAAGTTTGTTTTTCAGCACATCCAGTGGTCCTCCTAGAACTGAATTTGTCCCGAGAGAGGTTTTTTTTAAACTGCATCTCTGAGGTTTTGAATGCAAAATGCTGAAACTGTTTTTTTTTTTTTCCTAACATGACAGATGGGGTTTTTTTTAACACCAGTTAAGAGTTCTTGTTCTTGTCTTTGTGAGTCATCACATTTGAGTATTTGCAACTATCTATGTTCGAATAAACTGATGTTAAATACACTTTAAAAATGATATCAAGTAAGTTGTTTTATAAGGCTGCTGGAGAAGAACGCTCGCATGGTTATCCGTGTTAATGTGTTTTGCAAACCACATGCTATAATTTAAACTTACTTTAAACTTACATAAAACTTTAAACCCTGAGCACAGCATATATTTTGTTAACCTGCCTCCCTCTGCAATATTAATCCTATACAAATAGGATTAAATGTGCAGATGTATTCTTATCTAAGTGCAAAAACATACTGAAACGGAAAATGGATGACGGGGACATAATTACGATATAGTACAGGACATATTGGACTATAGCCTACATATCTGCTGCTTGGCCTCCAACACTTCTCTCTTTCACCTTCCTCTCTCTGTCAGTAATTCTTTAGACTTTTATTTCTCTTGCGCCAAGGTTGTTAGGTTGCTATCTTTCTTTCCATCCAGTACATCTTTGTAAGGTTCCATCTTACAGTATGCAAGGGCTTGTAATTTGCAGAACAAAATCTACTCTCTCCTATGTTGTAATAAAACAGTTATTCCTCATCAGTACAATGCCATTTAACACCTTGCACTACAGGTTTCTGAAAGCCCCATCTTTCTCACCCTAAAAAATCATGCATCTCACTCGATGCTTAGCATCCCTTGTGTACGGACTAAATCCTTGGGCAGGAACCGTTTCCTGTCAGCATCATAATAAAATTGTGGTTATTGTTGAGCGAGTCATTCTGTCATTGTGAAACCGAGGTTTGCTAACCAGAAATTGAACATATGGGATGGTGCACTTTTGCACAGAAAGAGCAAAGCAATGCTCTGCACTGTTACTTTAGATTGCAAAGTAAGTCAAAAGAATAAGTCATTACGTTAGTTTGTAGATTTTGTGCAGAGCCTCTTACAGTTTATTGAGGGAATATCATTTGAGTCCTACTAGGATGGTCTCTCATTGAACCTGCTGAAATATAGTCTTAGTCTTAAATACGTCTTTTTCATTTATTGACCCATCTTTCTTTATTCCTCTGTAGCCCCACTGTGTGCTGTTGGCCTCAAAGGAGAACTCTGCTCCAGTGAAGCTCGGAGGATTTGGAGTGGCAATACAGCTGGGAGAGTCTGGTTTAGTAGCTGGAGGTACAGTACGACGGACCCTCTTTTCCTCTACACCTACAAAAGACTGAGAAAACACTCATGCCTTCCCACTATACATGTTAACTCGACGGAAACAAATAAAACTCACCAAAACCATCTTGCTTAATCTTCCCACTGGTACAGTCACTACACTCTACATGCAGTTTTTCCCTGCAGCCTCTCTGTGCTGTTACGAGAGTCTGTCACCGAGGAGCGGCTCTCACTCGTTCCTCTGAGGCCATTAAATTAGCAAAATAAAATGACAAAAATTATCCCCCAAAAAATTAGCTTAGACACATACTGAAATATTTTAGTATTAGTCAAAGAATGGAAAATTATTGGTTTGAATTGTAATATGTTATTAATCATTATAATTCATTAAAGATCAGCTTGCTTATTTAAATGTCCATGTTATTATAAAATGGCGTTTATTGGCTGTGGATCAGACTAAAAAGAAATGTTCAGAGAAAACTTGTGGTAACAAGATGAACAATACATTGTGTGGGTTTCTTCCAGCAGCTCCGGAGACATGCAGATTAGGCCAATTAGAAAATGTGTATGTAATTGTGAATTAGACATGGATGTGGTTGTGTATTAGCCCTGGGGTGTGCAGGGTGTACCCTGCCTTTCTTCCAGTGGATAGTGGGATATGCTCCAGGCCTTTGCAGCCTTAAGTAGGACAAGCTGGTTTAGATAGATTTTCTACAGTGAATGATTAAGTTATTTATTTATTATTTACTTTCAATTTTAATTCTGAGATTGATGTTATAGAAATGTAATTTGATGATTTAGGTCCTTTTATCAAGCAAAAATGCCAAACAGTTGTTGGTTTCAGTTTCTCAGATATAAGAATTTGATACTTTTCTTCTTAACTGTAACTTATAACAATGAATGAATGAATCCAAAACAATCTGTTACAGTCATGCATATCCTTGTAACACAAGTTATGTCTTCAGATTTCCACCTCGCTGCAATTTTTTATTAACACTTATAACTCCCAGCAGCTAATCACTCTTAAAATTGTCTGTCTGTTCAGGTCGAGTCGGTACTCCCCACTTCATGGCCCCGGAGGTAGTCAAGAGGGAGCCATACGGCAAACCGGTGGATGTGTGGGGATGTGGAGTCATCCTCTTCATCCTTCTGTCTGGCTGCCTTCCTTTCTACGGCACCAAGGAGCGTTTGTTTGAGGCTATCATTAAGGGGAAATACAAGGTAGGAGCTGAGTTACCAAAGACCATCATTGTCTGTCAGTGTACAAACTGAATATGTTCATCACTGCACCAGAGCTGCTCCCTGTAGCTGCAGCCAAGCACAATAGTAAGCTCCTCTTTGTCACTGTGCTGCAATGTGCGTCAAGGTTAAGCTCCAGGGTTACTGAGAACTGAACAGTGTGGGTGCTACATCACTGCAGAAGAGTGTGGTATCAAGTGTTCATATTTTTTTTTCATTCTTTCAAATTTAAGATTTATTTTTGTAAAGGTAACATCTGAGGCTGAATGACTGGTCAGATGTATTATGTTTCTTGTTTCCTTCTGTCTTTGTTCCTCTTTCCAACCAGACGTGATTTGATACAGCCCTATTTAATTCAATTACATTTTATTTGTATAGCACCAATTCATAACAAAAGTTATCTCAGGACACTTCAAATAGAGTAGACGGTACTCTTTTTTTAAATTAAATTATTTACAGAGAACAGTTCACAATTAATGAATGAATGCCTGTTCTGAGCGATTTTTACTCTTAACTCATGATAGTTGAGTGCAATAAAAAGGGTAATTGTTACATACTTCTCACCTTTACTAACACCAGTGAGAGGAGACAAATGAACTGACAGTGTCAGCAGAAGATAATATAAATGGGATACAGGTCTGTAAAATGTTGTGCTTTTTCCTGCTTGGTGCACTAATCTGTGGCAGATGCAGTCACGGCAGGCAGCTTGATGGACGACGCCACAGTGTCGGCCATCAAGCTGCTGCTAAACAGCTGTTGCTAAATTTATTATTTTGAAAAAACTAAAGTCTATAAATAATGAGTTCTACCAACACTGCAACAGTGATATTCTAAACATTTATAATAAAAATGATCTTGGTTGCAGATATTCTCCATGCCTCTGAAATTTTCTTTGTCTTTGTGTGTGTGTGTGTGTGTGCGTGTGTGCGTGTGCGCGTGTGCATGCTTGTCCAGATGAACCCGCGCCAGTGGGCCCATATCTCAGAGAGCGCCAAGGATCTGGTGAGACGTATGCTGATGCTGGACCCTGCTGAGAGAATCACTGTCTACGAGGCCCTCAACCACCCTTGGCTGAAGGCAAGATCTCACACACAGATCCGCTAGTAATGAATTCACTACAAATTAGGAGCGCTCAGTGTACATGTTGCTAACTTTAGCAGGGTATTACAGTTCCACTGTTGTGATCAGGTGTAAAAGAAAGAGACATTTGGTGGCTGTTTGTGGTGTTTCATGAAATAAGCTTTGGTGAACTAAAGGCCCCTTTAAACACTGGCCCTACTGATTCTTACTCAAAAACACTTCCTTCTGCTCAAAACCACAACTCTGCTTTCACATCCGTTATGTGACTCCTCTGATGTTTGTTTGTGTGTGTGTGTG